TTTTTTTATTGCTGAAGAGTGTTGAACTTTCTTCTTCTGTGTTCTACTGTACAGACGTGATTTACATTTCCTTCAGCCTGAGGCTTTTGGTGTGAAAGGCTTTTATATTTGCCAAAAACAGAACTTTTTATATTAAAAGCAAACAATCAAGCCCCGCCCAGATTTAAAAAGTAACGCAAAAGTAACGTAACGCATTACTTTCAATGAAAAGTAACTAAGTACCGTAATTAGTTACTTTTTTTTTAGGAAATAACGCAATATTGTAATGCATTACTTTTAAAAGTAACTTTCCCCGACACTGCTCATTAGCAGCTGCTCGTATTAATCACGGCTGAGAGAGAGAGAGAGAGAGACGCTCATCAGGAATCCTGGACTTCAGGAACCTCCTTTCCGTCAGTAACGTCAGGTTTTGTGGATTCGAATCAACTCGTGCAGCATATCTGACCTCATTTTTTACCAGCGCATTTTATTTTTCATAAACTGGGCTGATCTAGAACTATAATTAACAGAAGAGGCTCTGGGGAATCCTTCGGTTAAATCAGAAGTGTACAAGCAAGCTGTTGAACTCTTCCTTATTTGGATACATGTGCTTAGAATTAATAATCAATCTGCTTACAATAATCTGAGGAAAAAATACATGCATATGTAATATTGATTCATTGATCTCACATATTGAAATATATACCATATTTTGATCATGTGATGTTTATATCAGTTCTATGGTACACTGGTATCAGATACTTTGATAAGTAACTTGGGTTATAGAGTAACCCTAACTTGGTACTGAATGAATATATGTTCAAAAACATGGTATTTTAATAGTACATGTCCAGAAAAAAACATGGCATTAACATTGGAAGTGTAAAAAAATATGGTCTTATCACGGAAAAAGTAAAAAAAAGAATAATAGATTTGTGCATGTCCAAAATCATGGTGTTAGCATAGGAAATGTTAAAAAACATGATATCACCATGGTAAATATTTGAAACACATGGTATTTCAATTGTATGTGTACAAAAAACACTGTAATACTATTTTGCATTTTATTACCATGGGAAATCTTCACAAAACATGGTATCAACATGGGAAATCTTCAAAAGAAAAAAAAAACATGTTACTGTGGGATATGTCCAAAAACATGGTAATACCAGGGTGTATGTTCAAAAAATGTGGTATTACATGATAAATATTTTTAAAAATCGTATTACCATAGGAAATGTAAAAAAAAAAAAAAACGGTAGTAAAATGGCATTTATATAGTACATGCCCAAAAGACAAAGTTAAAACTGTGATGCATTTTCAAAAACATGATATTACAATGGTGAATTTAAAATAAAAATGACATTACTATAGGAAATGCTCAAAAAAAGATATGACCATGGTGGGACATGTACAAAAACGTGGTAAGTCCATGGTATATGTTAAAAAAACATGGTGTTTCAATTGCATGTATCCACAAAACGTGGTGATATGATGGAACATGTCAGAAAGAAATATCTGAGTGTTGGCATGTCATTAGTGCTGCTGATGTGCCTTAGTTTCCCTTCGTTAGGTCACCCAGCTGTACTGCATTACAATTACAGCCAGAATGAATAAATGAAGAGCTGAGACACT